CGACCAGGCCTGGGCGTCGGCGCGCCGCCGAGGCATCCGTCGCAGTGGCGGCCGGGCCACATGCGCCCCCTCTCCGCGCCGAACAACGATGCGCAGCCGATGTCGGACTTTGCGAGGGACTTTTATGCGGCTGGCGCGGGGGCTCCGGGTACGGGTGCGGGTGCGGGTGAGACGATGACAGCGTCGAGCTCGAATCCGAACTTGCCGTCGTCGAGCGGTCCGACGCCAGACGACGGCAAACCGACGGAGACGCCGACGCCTGGCCATCCGCTCTTGCGGCACGGACGGGTGCTGGTGTACCCATCTGGGTACGAATGCAACAAATGTAAGCAACACAATCTGCATATGTATACCGCACACCGCAACTCGAGCTGACGGAGTTATTCTAAATGCGTGTGTACATATGTGCCAGGCCATAATACAGGCTACCAGAGCAACGACCCCTCCATGCCCTGCCTCAAATGCTGGGAGCGATACAGCTCCCCATTCACCGGCCCGATCGTCTACATGCCCTGGAACGCATCCGCCTCGCACGACGGCGCACGCAACACCTACCAACGCCCCCTCCCGCGCTTCACCCCGCCCCAACGCGCCACCTCGCTCGGCCGCACACGCGGCTATCCCGGAGCCGCGTCGCGCATGCAGATGGCTGGCAGAAGCCAGTTCCTCGAACCCTTGCCGCGCCCGTTGCTGGGACGGCCGCCGTCGAATGTCCGTGTGGCGCAGAGGCCCCCGCCGGGCGCGGCGGTTGTGCAGCCGGGCGATCCGCGCATCGGTGGCCGGGTGTGTCGGCAGTGTGGGGGGACGGGCGTGATGACGTTCTTGATATTTGAGGATACGTGCCCGGTTTGCAATGGCATCGGACGGACGTTTGACTGATGGATATATAATCGATCTAATGCTCGTATTTCTACGTACTATGATTTAGTACTCTGCAGAGCTAATGGAAAAACAAGTGAGCGCACCATCATTTCGGCATTCCTGGTACGCGAAGGTCGTTCGCGAAGTGCCTCCGCCTTTTTGCCAGCGTGCGCATGAGATTCACGAATGGTTATCTGAGCAGCAGACGGTCAGCCGGCGCCTACATAATTTTTGCAACAACAGAGGACAATCTCCTAGCACTCACCATGTGAGATGAATGCAGTTGAAATATGCGGTCATCGCGAAAGTCGGAACGCAACGTGGTCTTCCAGACCTGTGGGACGACATCATTTTCGTGTGCATTGGCAATCACAGGTCGTCGATGAAAGAAACGGCGCAGAGTAACGGATGATCTAGCGGTAGGGGGCAACCCAGGTGCGCATATAAGAGGACCAGTGCAGCCCATGGACCGTTAAAGGGGGGAGGGGTACATTCTATGCAGAAATCGAATCGTCAGAATGCTGTTGTTGCAACTTTGTGCCGCGCCGATTCTTCACCAGAATTCGACAGCATCTCTACATCTCAGGCCATCGGGAGCCGATAACGAAATGGTTTCCTACGCTGGTCGTGTGCGGTCTTCGAGGAAGGACACGGTGCAGAGTTAGTGGATGATGATCAAGGAGCTGTATCCGCCGGGAACGCACGAGGCAGCGTTAATGTGCGCGCACGTTATATGAAACTTTGGCGAGGAAGCGTCAAATACGGCATCCCGATTTGAATTACGCTGTCGTGCTTAAGCTTTCGGTGTCGCTTCGTATAAAACCATCGCGCAGCCTTTCGGACCTTGCAGTTTTTTCTTTAACTGTGCAGCCCTGATCATCGCCGTACCAGAAGTGTCGAATATTGCGCTCGTCAGGTAGGCTCATAAATCGGCCTTTGTAGAGGAAGACAGCCGTTACTCTGTACTCCTTGGGCTGAAATCGCCAGGAAAAGGCCACGTCAGCGTGCGAGGTCATCTTCCGCAGAGATCACACACGAGATGCGGACTTTGCGCCACGGTACCACGGGCCTGGTCTGCGTTTTTTGAGCCGCCGCACGGGCTATTGGAAGCTATCGTCCAATAGGGATTGATGTGTGAAATGGTGGCCGTCCAATGCAGATCGGAAAGTTCAACCTGGCATTGCGGAAACCGAGCCGCAGTATCACCCTCAATCTAAAAACGCAGGACCGAGGAACCCGATGGATGGCGAGGGAATATCTCTGCGGACGCGGGGAAGCTGCCAAAGAGATCTCCATTGTAAGAATGCAGCAGCGCACCAGAAGCAGCGCTTGCGAGGAGGACGCTCGGTGCAACTTTAGCATGCATCGGCACGCGGGTTATGCAATTCGGATGATGGCGTGAATGGAACCCCTGAATGCTTGGGTTCAGCGCCTGAAACGATTGCACAGCGTCGAATCGCGCTGAACGACAAAGCGACCGCTCTCACCGAGCTGGCAGCTGTCCCATCAATGCTATGCTGCTCGCAACGCGTGGATGCGTGGATATCTGGATATCCCCGTGGCAAGTCCTCGGTACGTATCAGGGAAGCGCCCGATGTGAAGAAATTGAGGGCGCGGCCAATGGCAGGCTCTCACGTCGGTGGCACGCACGTGATGCGACGACCGGAGGGGAAGCTCCGATTGGACCGGCGGTGCGATTGGTCCAGAAAGATGGAGGACTGTGATTGGGCGGGAGTTTGAAAGCAGGCATTCTGCGGGTCACCCATTTTCAAAGAGGACCAACGATGAATTCCTATTAGAGCGGCCCCTTGGAAGCCTGGGGACATGCGCCGTCCACTCCCACCTCAAAACCTTCCATCCTGAGCGCTGGCTCCCCCCCATCCGCCATCGCGAGTTCCTCGCAGCCCTCCTGCGGGCGTGATATGTCCAAGAAATGGTCGCTCCAGCAAGTCGCACAGCACAACACCGCAAGGTGCGCACACCTCGTTCATCTCATACAGCCTGGCCCTGACCCCCGTGCCCCCGTCTAGCTCGTGCTGGATCATCATCGAGAACAAGGTCTACGATGTGACCGAGTTCCTCCCGGTGAGTAGCTGCTCAAGTTGCAGCATGTGTAAGAGAGCACGCGTCCTGACTTTGTGCAGATACACCCGGGCGGTGTCAGGCTGCTCCTCAACTTTGCGGGTAGAGACGCCACCGCTGCCTTCAAACCCTTCCACTCGTCGCGCGCGCTCACCGACAGCCTCCCACCCGAGAAATGCCTCGGCGAGGTCGACTATGTCAGTGCGAAAGCACTCAAGAAGAGCCGCAAGAGTCCGCGTCTACGCAAACTCAAGGACGTGCCCGTCACGAACGTTACGCCGCCTAGCGACGACGTCTGATAGACTGCGCCCTTTACTCATACTCATATACACATTGGGTTTCGATTTCGTACATCGGTCATCTTTCGGGGTTTTGGGCTGTAATTCATAAAGGTCGCTTGTGGCATTTGGGTTCCGTGGGCGATGGAGGAATTAGCATCGGGCAATGGTCATTCATTCAATGTACAACTTCCATAAGTTATCGAGTCTATATACGCTGTCTCACTAGTATACTTCCGCTACTGGTAAGTACAATGGGCTATGGGCGACGTTGGCAGAGGTCGTCAAATTGTGTTGGGAAAGCAGTGTCAGGACAGATCTCCAGTTCCAACCGTAAACAACCACGGTGAGTGCGTGATTGTCTGGTGACATCGCCATTACGTTGCTCGCAGCAGTGGCGGCCCCCGCCTCGTGCGGTGCCAACTGACTTCCAGCGGCCAGAAGCAGCTTCAGCTGACCCTCTGTTTATATACTCCTTGGCTTCCTATCACGAAGATGTGCGGGGAGCTGGGGAACGGAGCTCACATACAAATACAGGCAAACGGAGGCAGAGCGTGGTGAGAAAGCCCTGTAACAATCACTCGGCCTCAGTTGTCGGTGCCGACAGGGAGTATAGTACATGTTGTAGTGACATTGGCGTGCGCCGTGCAGCGCTCACCACCATAGACCGACCCATTCAAATGAACGACCCTCAAAAACAGACGAAAGGCCATCGATCATCAACCCAGCAAACACTCGAACTCTCGAATCAGTGGTCCGCGGCAGGCAAGTCGTCGTAGTCGGGGCAGAGCGAGTCCCAGGCGACTGCGGGCGAACAACCATATCTACTCAGCAACCGTGCATGTCGCATGATAGCGCGCCGAAAGCTCACCGGAGGGAACATTGATCTCCGCAGTCATGTTGGTCGCCTCGGCCATGACAACCGCGAAGCCCGCGTTGAGGTGGAAGTCGATGTGGCAGTGGAGGAACCACGGGCCCGGGTTGTCCGTCTAGCCGCCGCACGGACGTCAACGGCCCGCATTATACGCATATAACAGCAGCACACGAGCAACAACCCACCTGAAAGCGGATCGTGACATTGTCCCCCTTCAGCCCGGTGTTGACCGTGTCCCGCCTCACAGGATCGACATAGTTATAGCTCTCGTTTCCCGCACTCCGAAGCACAGAGAAAACGTGCTGCGCATCGTCGTCAACACCCGTGCACACCGTCGCGACGCAGGTACGTACCCCGTGTAGGTGGATAGGGTGCTGGTCGCCCAGGAGCCCGCCGGGGATGGAGATTTGGATCGTCTGGTTCATCGGCAGGCTGTACACGCTCCCCGGCGGGAGCAGCTCCTGTGCGGTGTACGATCCGTGCAGGATCTGCAGCAGGACGGGCACCGAGGGAGGGAGGAACGTCGCGCCGTTGACGTAGAACCGTCCGGCATCCTGCTCGGCGGCTGCGTGAGCGAGTCGATGCCTCCTTGAGACTTCAAGGGGATACGCACGAAGGTTACGTCGAGGTTGAGGCTAACGTCTGCGCCATCGTCTCCCGGTGCGCCGGGCTGGCATATAGAACAGGATCAGAAGGTATACAGGGCTATACGAGGATGATCTTCACAGGAGTGGGATTGGTGAGCGGATGGAGGTTGGTCTCCACAAGAGGGTTGACAGGCGCGACTTCGGGCGTGGTAGGCTCTTCCTCTGGTGCCCCCTCATAGCGGAGGATCGCGAAGCCGGGCGGGGTTGCTGGGCTGCCCAGGGCCTCAGATGCAGCGCGGATCCAATAGTTGCCAACAGGCTGGTTGGCTTCCAGCTGTCCATCGTGGCGATTTTAGAATGTGTGATTAAATGTATAACAGAACAAGAGCATGCAAACGTACTACGAACGAGTATCGCTGCGAGGCAAATATGGGGATGGAGTCGATTCCGGGCAGCGCCTGCGTGTTCTGCCCATCCGCCTCGATGATCGTCCCGGTGTGGTTGTCGATCGAGAAGGTGAAGTACGGGCTGCACGAGAGCGAGATCAGGCGGATGCGGTAGCTGGATAGCTGGTGTGAGCGTCGATGGTGAGTGCTGAGGAAGGGGCACGTACCGTAGTCCAGGTTCGACTGTGATCACAGTAAGAGGAGACGTAGTGTCGTTCGCTTGACGGCCCAAGCCATTGATGAGAGTGGATTCGGGGTTCCTATGAGATAGATGTCAAATTGATGGTGGAAGGTGGAGGAAGCGATCCGTACGCGGGCAAAGGAACTTGAAGAGCCGGGAGGTGGTACCAATCAGACAAGGTGACGATGGTGGTCTCTGTGTGACGATGTAGTTAAAAACAGATTCGCAATCTCACCACCCACATCACGCACCGTCGTCGACATCATAGAGATCAGCATATGGATCATCCGGATCGTATACGATGAATGGCCCCCGTAGACCGTCACAGTACTGCAAACTTTCGTGACTGTGATACCAGAAGGTCCCTGCGCATCGTAACAATGACCGTGAGTCGTGAACGATGTGCAAGCAGCTCAATACTTGCCTGCTTGGTTGGGGACGGTGAAATTGTAGAGGAATGAGTTGCTGGGGGAAATGGGGCATTGTGTGACGAATGCTGGACCGTCCGCCCAGTTGGTCGTGTGCTGGAATATCCCATGCCAGTGCTGCTCGGTAAGTTGTGGATGAACTCATGAAATGTCTATGCTTGATCCTGAATACTCTTACAATGGTCGTGGTCATGTTCATCGTCTCATTCGTTAAGGAATCCTGCACGTTGATCTGGAAGTTATCTCCCTGTTCTCCAATTATTCAAACAATGTACCGCCTAACATCAAGGTACTCTACCTTGTTGCCTACTATTGCAGGTCCGGGATACACGCCGTTGGCGAGAACAGCTTGCCGCATGAATCCGTCGGGCGTAATGTCGGCATTGACAATGGTCAAGTCTGTTACAGGACCAATGGAGGCGGAAACAGTCAAGAAAGAGCCTAGAGAAATCAAGCTGGCAATGTATAACGGGCCAAACATGCTGACAGACTAATTTCAGTGAGCCTGGCGATGCTAGAGACCCTGCACTGGTGCCAATCGACAAAGGCGCAAACGAGCTATGATTTATACCGTTTCTCACCGATACCAGGTCCTGTTTGGGATGTGGCCGGAGTCATTGTATGGAGGAGCATCTTCCATTCGCGATGTCAATGTATCTGCCTAAGGTCAGGCATCCGGAAGCATGGTCTAAGGTACAGATAGATTCACGACATGCCGAAAGAACGGACGTATGAGGGATACGCGGACAATTGCTGAGGCGCTCCTGCATACCAATGGTTTGTGGCACCGACGACGGTGTCCATCATGAAGGCCAGGAATGCATCCCCCGAAATGCAGAGACAATTTATGTCCTGCTCGAGCTATGACAGATACACGGATAAGTGAGATTATTTGTTACCCGACGCGTAGCATTGAGTGAGAGCATACCTCAGCTGACTTGCCCACTTCAACGCCTAGTGAGCATGATGACGAAATTGATCTCCACCTAAAAATATCCTTCGGCTTGAAGCCGCCAGGCACGAATGCATCTGAATTCATGTAGAAGGCGATTAGACGTTAAGAGAAGCCAGGTACATTCTGGGAAGGTCACGAAGGACGGTGCAGTCCACATGGACCGGTACCGCCAGGGGTCTATCATGCCTTTTCATACCAATCGCGAAGACGCTGCCGGTCATTGGAATGTATTTCAGGGTCGTGAAATCTCTGCTATTATCTCGCCAGATTGTGGTGCCGACGTCAAGCCATACCAAACTGAATATCCGCATACTTCTCGCTCATTTACATCAATGTACGGCTTGTGTCCGGCCTATTGGAGGTAGGAAGTGGCGATTGCTATCTAGAGGTGTATGGGGCGTATATCCTGCCGACAAGGATTCAATCATGCTGCATTGTTTCTTTCGAAGTGCAGCGGTAGTGAAATCTGAGGCGAAGTTGAGGCCTCATACATTTGGAAGTCAGCGGCCTGAGGGTTTTCAGCCACCGCCACATTTCGGTAGCGCCCGCTCACTGCTAGTTTTTGTTTTACAAGATCCTGCATGCGCTTGCACCAACCCCATGGATCTTGAACTGCAACCACCAACTGCATCGCCTAGCGCCCGGGGATCCTCCCCTGCACCCTCTGAATCTCTGTATGAAATCTCCTCTGCAACCCCTGACCTCACCCTGGCTATACGCCAGGCTCTCCGACCATGGCAGTCTCAGGGTCCCTCTGAGTTGTTATATGATCTGGACAGTGCCATCGATGCCGTCTTCGCGGTGAACAAGACCATGCTTCGTGTCCTGCAACTTGCAGGCCACAAGTACTGGGCAAGCATCCCCGTCCCCAACCTTCTCCTGAAACAGCGATTCAACTCAGCAATCGCACAATGCCGTGGCACTCCAGGGAAGGGGGCTCCTTCCCCCCCTGCGGCTGCCAACCAGCCCGCACCCACCTCCGCTCCATCTGGACCCGACCTCACGGCGGCCCTCCAGGACCTCCGCTCCGCCCTCGACACCAGACTCGATGCTCTGGAGACTCGAATGGCGAATGCGACCCCCCCGTCGCAGGCGAAGGCTCCCCCTCCTCCCAAACCTCAGGTACGTGGCGTTCCCAAGAAGCGCTCGTACGCGGTGGCAGCCGCCACCTCTCATCCAGCTCCTCCCGGGATGACTCCGAACCCGCCCACTCCCTCGAAGGCTCCTAAGACCAAGAGTTCGCCAGAGCCTTTGAGGTATATAGTTCGCTTTGCTAGCTCCGCGCCGGCACATCTGCTTCAGACGCCCCCCGCCCAACTTGTCAGCGATGTGAATACAGCACTGGCTGCAATTCCGACTGCTGGAGGGCTGACTGCACTCGCAGCCTACCCGAGCTCCTCTGGCAACATCGTCCTGGCTTTTCCCACTACCACCTCATACCGCCGCGTTGACGAACACCTCCCGACCCTCCGTGCTGCCCTCAAGATCGATCCGGACCACCATGTCTCCAGGGATGTCAAATGGTCCAGGATCCTTCTCGGCAATGTCAGCACGCGGACAGCCCCTGGCGGCGATGTCCATTCGACGTCGACTCTGTCGACCGAGCTCATAAAGAACCCTGCGCTTGCGCGCCTACGCATCACCCAACCCCCGCGCTGGGCACGTCGACCTGAGCAAATCGACGGTGCTCGATCGTCCGTCGTCCTCGGTTTCGAAGACCCGGACGGCTCTATCCTCACCGCCCTCCTCAAGACCCCCCTCTTCGCCTTCGGTACTCCCGTCACCACGTCGCGCTGGCGTGATAAGCCGCGCCTCCGGCAGTGTACGAGGTGCTGGGGATATGGCCATCTCGTTGCAGGATGCACGAAGCCACCCCGGTGCCGTGTTTGCGCCGGCCGCCATCTGGAATCACTGCACCGTTCGCGATGCACGTCGTGCGCGCAGGAGAATCGCGCCGCCTCAGCCCCCTGCGATCATTCGCGCTGCGTTAACTGTCGTGGGCTCCACCACGCCGATGCCGCCACTTGCCCTAAGCGGGCCGCTTTCCGGGACCCAAGCACAACCCTTGGCCACGTCCCCTCTGACTCCACCCAGGTCCGCTCAGCTGGCGACACGGATGTCGCCATGTAGCTGTAGTCGTGTCCCTCTTCACCTTTTTCTCCTCAGATCTCCGCCCTTTGTGAGAACAACCTCCCCAGTCGATACTCCAGCAAGCTTTTTGGGAAGAC